TGCTGAGCTCCATGATAGAGCAATAGTGGAATCTGAAAAAACCCAGAAAAACAGGTTTAGTAGTCAGGTGAACTAAGCTCATTTAAAACTAAGCAGAAGGCAGTAGAGATAATTAGCTGTGTTACAAGAAGGCTGTAAACACAGTATCATGGCACAACATGTAGTAACCACATAAACAACTACAATCAAACTGTTCTCTATAGAGGAAGTGTCAAAGCAAAAATACGAATCAGAATTAAATAGTTCGTTCTTTAAACTTAAGAAGTATCTTCATGTCTTTTACCTCTGGAGTAAATCTCTTGAATTCAGACATCCAGTTTGGAAGAGTAGACAAGGGACCACATACTAAGAATGGACCAGGGACTCCTCGCTCCACCATCAGAGCTATTGTTGCAATACACTGGATAGTTTTCCCCAACCCCATTTCATCAGCTAAAATGCCATTGATACCATTTTCCCAAAGCATCTGCATACACAGAAAAAGAAATGTAAATGCCAAATAGGCAACACAACTTAATAACAAGTTATCTTTAGAAATTTAACACCTGTAGAAACACTCTACTGGGCACATTGTATATTACAGACAACTAAAATTTCTCCATGATAAAGTATGTACTTCTAACTAATAAAGTGCCTGACCAGGAGGTGAAAACCAGAACAGTATCAGAGGAAGGGATGTAAATCAATGTTATATCAACATGCATTCCAACCGCAAGTACAGTTCACACTACCCACATTTTTACTCATTCCAGCTCCAAGGAATTCCCCTGGCTCCCCCCACTAAAAGACTAAGTTACTGTGTTGATGTTTGCTTTATCTGTTCAGTTAGCTTCTGTAGGCACAGCTACTTCACCATAGGAAATAGTGCAATTCCTGACCAAGAAAAGCAGCTGTTCCAGCACAAGTTCTTTGTACAGACACTGTCTACTCCGACAAGTGCCAAAGCAACCTCTCACAGAACAGAAAGACAAAAGCATCCTTCGGTTACTCTACCTACTATTCATAAAAAAGTTTATTATAACTGAGGCCCAAGGAAGCTGTTTTTTTCCCCACTTCCTAGAATAGGTCTGTCTTCCCTACATACTTCCCAATGTCAACAGAGTGAGTCCAGTGGCACTCACTTGTGAGATGAGCCTAAGCCTGCTAGAACAGAATATGCATGTTTGTGGGGAAGAAAAAAGAAAGTAAAAATCTGGGAGGAAAATGAGATCAGTAGTAGAATGAAAATGAGTCCTGTGTGTCTCTCATAATTAAAAAGTGAAGTAGTTCTAATTTGGCTTGCAAGCAAAAATGTGGAGAAATTAGGTAGTATGTGGGCAGTTTTATAGCAAGTTTCATCAGTTTTTTATTTAAAAGACTAAACACAAAACATTCTTAAAAACTGTGTTAGTAACACTAGAATCATAGAATATGCTGAGTTGGAAGGGACCCATCAAGATCTTCGAGTCCAACTCCTGTTGCTGTGTAGCGCACTCTAAGAATCACATCCAAACACTTCTTCAACTCAGGCAGGTTTGGTGCTGTGACCACTTCCCTGGGGAGCTTGTTCCAGTGCTCCGGTTAGATCCCAACACACAAAGAACAGAGATCTTTCATCCATGTCATATCTGCAAGGTCTTTAAATACCTATGGGGCTAGGTATTCAAGTCCTTGAGCAAGAAAAATATTAAGACTCTCCATTAGTAGCATGCAGACCTTCTGCTTTCACAAAGTACTTATAAAGAGAGGCTGAAAAGACAGTTGAGTTGAACAAGAAAAAAAGATGGAGAAAGGGAAGATGGAGAACAGCACCCAATGTCTAAAGAAGGTTCAGAAATGCAAATATTCTCCCAATGCTGAAACTTTGTCTGCTGCTTGACAACTTCATCTTAACACCAGTCTTGTATAATAAGAAATCATAAAGAACTCTCTCCACCTTCCCTGTACTAACTACAATCACAGATTTCTAGTGTCTTTCCCCTCCATTTCTGTGTCTCCAATCAGCAACACATTCAACTTAACCAACGATTGCTCCATACCCTCAGCCATTCCATGCCTTCCACTTGGTACCACCGCATTACACCTCCAGTAAAAATCTTTGGCTGCTGAAAAGGCACTGGTTGTCCATTAAATTTCCGTACTGGATCAAGGAATTGTTTGGCACTGTGTCGTACAGCTTGACACAATCTATCCTTAATGACACTATTTGAGTCTCCGTTTTTCTGCAGGTTTTCTGGACACAGGTTGTCAGAAGAGCCCTCATCCTATAGAGGGAAGTTCAAGAACACATGACAAGTGGAATGCACATCAAAAGCCCACCTAAGACCTCTTTTTGCCCAATTTACACCAGTCAATGTGCAGTGAAGTAAGTCTGTCCCAACCCAAAGACTTACTTTAAGCAACTGCCAATTCAAGAGTAGAATTTATTTTTAGGATTAGTATTCCTACATAGGAAGATGTCAACATGCAAAATTTCAATGCCTTGAGCAGTGAAAACTTCTGAAGTGAATGAGCTTACAACTTTCTCCCCCAAAAGCAAGCAGATGTAAAACTTGTCCACAGCAGCTGGCATTTAATGCAGCTATTTCTCTTCTCTAAGTGGATTATAGAGAATATTGGAAAGTAACTAACACAGTGCCTGCAGATTTTAAACTAAAACAGAAGCAAAAGAGACCACCTTTGTTACTTCCATGCTCGAATGCTTAAAAGTTACTATGCCCAGGTCTTGTACACCAGCAAAAATATTTCTTAGTAAATTCCTGTTTCTTTTATTTTTGAAACTACAGGCATTCTATAAAGTATAAATACTTTCAAATTCAGTGTTTAAAAAAAAAAATTGTAAGTTTTCTTTCCAGATTTCTGAAAATAAGTATTTAAGTACATTGACTGGCACTGCATTTTAAAACATCTAATTCAGGACCTCAAGCACTAGCAGAGAGATCTTTATTTGCAGGAAAAGTTTAAAGACATGCTGTTAAGTATAAAAAGCCCTGTGTCCCTTTGAGATTGACACAATTAAATTACAATAACACATGCCAACATACCTGATTTTCCACTTTACTTTTTTTTGCCACTGATAATATTTCCTGGAAACAGAGAAAAAAACTATGCTTATGTGCTTTTCAACCTTAAAGGTTACTACAATTTGTATTTCATGAGAACCTTAAATTGAAAAAGCCAGACATACTTTAAAAAGCTTTTAATATAACATTAATAATCATACAAGTGACTCTAAATCAAGGACACAGATGAGAGAACACATTCCACTTACAAAGGGTAATTGAAAATTCAACTGGAGATGTAGTCTTTTCACAGTTTGCCTCCGCAAAGACTTTGAAAAAAACCAAACAGCATCTGAATCCTGTAAGTCTGACAACTCTATTACACAGATCTTTGCTGGAAGAAAGCCATACAGTACAGGAAGATGGCTGTTGGTTGACAGACTTTTATAGCAATGTATGAGAAGGTATTGCTCTTAAATACAGATGTCACACAGCAATTGACTCAGCAGTTCAAATTTGTGCTACAAAAATCCAGACAAGCCTACTTACAGTTATGACCTACCTCTTTGGACATAATTTCTGAGATGTTGTATGTCCCATCTTCTCTTCCTCTTTTCTTTTTTGCACCTATAAGGGAACACTTGTGTTTATACAGCACATCAAACATTAAAGAAACTAAAAACACCAGTACTGACAAAAGGCAAAGCTTTATTAATATATTACCTGATTTCTCCTCTTTGTCATCAACTGGATTTTGACCCTAAAAAATCAACATATAAAGAGGTTCATTATTGGAAGAATCTCTATCATGTCACAAATAAAAAGACTTAATCAGCCTCAAACCATTGCCTTTGAAAGCTTCTTGAAACACGTTTACCCTTAATCAATTTACAAAATACAGAAAAAACACAAGTTCCTGCTTTTTTTTTTCCTATTACTTAGCATCTTGCCTGAACAAGTAATCATTGCTACAATAAAAAGCCTTCTCAAGACAAATTCAAACCATTTTCTTTACTACAATTAGTCAAACATCTCCTTAAGATGACTGCAGTGGTGTGCAATTTTTAAGCACTTTTAAACAGTCTTGTCACAGTTAAAATACAGTTTAGTAGATAGATCTTGCAAGTCAAAAACTAAGTCTAGCTTTCTTAGTTTACCTATCCTGATCAAAACTGATATGATAATTCATCAGTTTTATTCAGAAAGTTGCATAAAATGGCTAGGTAGCCTTACCTTGGCAGATTTTAACATCATCTCTCTCTTTTTTTCTAACTTTTCTTTCCTTCTCTGTTCCTAAATAAAAAAAATAATAATAAAAGCCATAACACATACATACTTCATACCTTTCTTATCACCCAAAAGAGAGTACCTTCTAGGATAGAAGTGGTAACAGGTACAGATTACATTGTAACACGGAGTTGTGTACTCCAGACATTTTTGTTTTTGCAGTCCCAATAAAGGCAAAGTATAAATTTGCTTAATGGAGGCCTACTTTAACATCCTGAAGACAAGCCTCACCCTCAGCCTTCAGTAATAAACACAAATAGGCTGCACAACTCCTACTTGTCAATTCTTTGCATCTTCTACATCAAAGTTTTCTAGCTCCCTTAAACTGTATTTCTTCTATTAAATATTTCTCTTCCTAGCACACAGGCCAGCAAAAGAATTGTAAAAATATCAGTGCCACCCTTACATTGTGAATTTAAATGATAATTCACACACTGTCTGGTCTGAATTATCTATTAACTTATATAACAAATTCTGAATATTAATATAAAGCACCACTTCACTCCTGGGCAGTAGTTCCAGCAGACTCCCATGTTATTTATTTTCATCCCAACAGCATTTTTACTTCTGTTCAAACAGCTGGATGCTAAAAAAACCCAAACATTATAAGAATCCCCACTGCAGACAAGAATGCACATACCTCCTGCTGCTGCTGTTCCATTTTGGTTAGCAAGAATTTGGAATAGATGTTGCTTTTTTCAAGCAAATGTTGAAGCCTCTTATAGCGCATTTCACTTGACTCCCTGTCCCAGGAAGTTCGAGCCTGGACAACACAAAGAGACATCACGCATTTATAGACACTTCAGAGTGAAGACTGTCAATATAAGGTAGGGCTGTTCTACAGGGTAACTACAATTTGCCTCACACACACACACACACCACCTTTCCCTTCCAGTCATTATACACCTGATTCCTGAGTGTATGGACTCACATGAGCCTGCGAAGTGCTGTAAGATGAAAGAAACTGATGGCTGCATTTCCTTACATATGTAAGCAGAGCTCTGCAACACACATACTTCCAGTGCAGCAGGACAAGGCATTCAAGGGCTCAAAGGTGTCTCAATTCCAATTTACAGATTTAGATCAAAATGAAACTCAAGTTTATATTCAGCAGTTTCCCACATTCAGACTCCTGTGCACAAGGGTGCAGTTTTTCATTAAGAACAAGATATTCAGACAACTTAAAAATGTTAATGCATCACGTACAAAGGTCAATTCCGAATGTGAAAACAGTGCTTGCTTTGCTTACAAAAATGCACACATGCCTTTAAAACTAACTTCTGTTGAATTAGTCAAGACTCCGTAAAACTCAGATAGACTTCCCCAAAAAGTAAAAAAGCATTTACTCTTCTGCATTCATCTAACATTGTCTGTTAGATTGAGATGTCAAAGAACTGAAAAGGTGTAAATTAGCATCTCTGAGAGACACTCTGGAAAGGCAAGATGCAGAGCTTTACAAGATGCTTATCTCATGCCGTTGCCTACAGGAGAAACACTGGGGGAGGGCACACAAAGACAGAAAGGCAAGAGAATCTTCTGAACCTGAGCAGACTAACAGGCAGGGAAAAAAGGTATTAGCTGAATCATGGGCCAGTGTGACATGGAAAAGGGAGAGCATGTTTCTATCTCCCAGAAAGCACACCTTATTTTGCACCAGCAGTACTCCATGTCATTTCTCATCAGGTAGCTACCACAGCATTGTTTTATTAGGGGAAGATCTGTGTCCACAAGTTCTTTGGGGGAAGCGACTGCCTTCTCATGATAGATTTTTCCTTCAGATTAAAAGTACCTCAACTCAGAGAGATCAACCCTTGATAGCAATGTCAAGAGAGAATAAAATTAAACCCAAAATACTTCATTCAGTAAATTGCTATTGTTCACTTTTACCAACACAACATCCTTCCATTAACTGGTCAATACAAAGGACTGCTCTCTTTACCGACTGAAAAAGTTTCAAGGTGAAAAAAGGGAAAAATAAGAACAAAATTGAATTTTTATTATTTCTCCATTTTGTACTTTGTACTTCAACGAGTTGGGGTTTATCACCTTTTTCACTGAAAAGGTTAAAAAATTGCCACTTTTTCATCACTCAACATACCTATATATATATTTGCATAGTGGTATTCTGTCCTCAGCACACAGAAAAAACGAGTGACTCCTTTGTTGAACTGCTGTACAAATCACCTGGCTGGGGATTTGTCAAGTGATAAGCGTAAAAAAAAACCCAGAAGCTTCAAGAACATCAACTGCCCCCAGGATGCCAGTAAGCCTGGGTTTAACAGAATGAGTAATTTCCCCTGGTCTGACTGGCCCGATTGCATGGAGAAAGTATGATAGGAACACACAGGACAATGGGCAATACTCTTGCTATGGGTAAGCTCTGTGGATTCTCAAGAAATGAACAGAATAAAAAAATAACCCAAAGCTCTATCACATTGTAGCACTGTTATAGAACTGGTTGGTTGTGAAACAAACTGTCACAAGTCCTTTCTCAACACTTCCTCTGCAATGAGAAATTGTGCCCCACAAGGGTTTCCTCCTTAACCTCCAAAAGCATTACCTCCACATTTTTAGTTCTAAGTCTGATCAATGAATACCTGAAAAGAAATTCAGACAGGCTCTATCATGACTTGCTGTTTGCAAGAAAGAAGACTAAAATTTCTGGGAGATGAACATTCTATTTTCTAACTACAGGATCACAAAATGCTGCAGCCTAAAAACATTTTATAAAATCAAAACTTCTCTTAGTGAAAAGAGAAAGAGTAAGTAAAATTAGTTCCAGGCCTTAGTGTCAGATTTTTCACACTCTTAGAATGACACTTCAGTTTTCAGACACCAGTCTCCTGTGGGCTGAATACAAAGCTATGTAATTAGCAGAATAGGGGAAAATGAGAGCAGTCTGAACGACAGGAAAAAAGCCAACTGATTTCTGAAGTAGATCTCAACAGCTCTAGTTCGTTAGAAAACAATTCTCACAAGAGCATGTAAGAGTTATTTCAAGCTCGTACTTCCTTATGCATTAAATGCAACACCTTACATAACAGCATTCTGATACGTGATAATCTGTATCTGTACGGGCCAAGGAGCATCATGTTTTCATGCTCTCTCTCGCAGATTGGTTAATATCAACCAACGCTTAATATAAAAGTCTGAAAACATTCACGACAAGAGAAATGAAGCACAGCAACGGTTCTGTAATTTGCGTCAGGGCTCTAACTTCCCCGAAGGGGTCTGCAAAAAGCCTGTTTCCGGCAACACGAGCGAACAGGCGCGCACAGACCGGAGCTCGGCTCTCGGGGCGACACACGCACGTTCCACCGGCACCGGCACCGGCACCGGCAGCCCCTGCTCCGCCCAGCCCAGCGGCACCTGCAGAACCGCCTGCGGGAAGGGCAGGAGCGGAGCAGGACACGGGAATGCGATGCCAGGGACACCTGCCGCCGCGACAGGAACGCAGCAGCACGCCAGCCTGTGACTCCCTCTGGGAT